GGGGCCGCCCCGCAGCCGCTCCAGGGCAGAGTCAGCCCCGGGGGCAGCAAAGCCCCGGGGAGCGAAGGGAAGGGGCTGGGGGAGAAAGGTGCCATCAGCAGAGAGCCTGGGAAGCACACGGGAGCAGGAGGTGATAGGGTACCCACGGGAGACACCAGCTCACTCTCGGCCCAAGAGCAACCGGGGGTCGTTGGGGTTTGCCCGTTCTTGCAAAGCAGAGCGCGGCACCGATGCCAGGGGACCGGGTGGCTGGAAGGGCACAAGGGTGGTCAGCGCGTGGAGCTGGAGGGGAAGGAGCAGCCACGGCAGTGGCTGCATGGTGGGTCACAGGCGTGCTCGCACTCTTCTCCGTGCCAGAGTAACCTGCACTGTGTGTTAGTTAATGGAGTGAGCGTGGATATTAATTAAGGCTCTTCACTCAATGTTCTCCCACGAGTGCTGGTGGGATTGAGTCCAGCCACAGAGCTGTGCGTAGTGCCCAGCTTTCAGCTCAGGCTGAAAACTGCACCACGACCAGCAGACCCCCACAGCCTGGAGACCCTCAGGGAGTGGGGAGCGTGCCCCAGAGACCAAAACTCAGCAGTCAGGAAGGGCCAAGTGATGGAGGATCCCACCTCATGTCACCTGGCACAGGGCAGTGCCTGGGAGGAGGTCCCAGAATCCCAGCACCGAGGCCAGCAGGAGGGTTTTGCCCAAAGCTCTGTGCCAGCAGCTGAACATCAACCCTCCCTACAGACCAAACCCTCAGGGACACCCATGCCCCTGCCCATGAGACTGATCAAACACAACCTTGCTTGCTCTGAGGTTCAACTGGGAGAGCAGAGCCAGGGGGAAGCCAATTGCTGGTGAACAGTGCTGGCTTGAGGGCTCGCCCAGCTGCCTGGATCCCAAACCCTTTGGGATGCCCTTCTGGGAGTTTAACATCATTTCAGCCTCATCAAAGACTCCTTCCCCTAGGGCCTTTGCAGGTTGCCCCTGGGAAATACCTGAGCTTCCTTTGGGGGGGCCCCCAAGGGAAGCAGGAGCTTTGAGGGCCCCGGGATCACCGTGGCTATTCTTAGAGTCCCCTCTTGAGCCTGAGTTACTGCCCTTTCAGACAGCAGCCCTGGCACGTCTCCAGGCTTCCACACAGTGAGGACAACCAGCCCCATCCCTCCTTCCCCAGGCACCGCTGAGCTGCAAACGCACATGCATGCTCCCGGACAGCCCAGGCAAGCATGGCAGCCCAACCCAAGCTGCACAGAGCTCTCCCTCAGGAGCACTCCTAAAAATATACACACACTGCCATGGTTTTGGCATCCTCCCATCTCTGTGCTTAGGTGCTGGCTGCTGCAGGACAGACAAGGTGCTGGTGATTTGCAGGGTGGAAGCCAAGCCACGCACCTCCCTGCACGCTAGAGCCAGGCAGGATGGGGTCAGTGGCACGGCACAGCCAGGCTCGCAGCCAGGAGCCAGCCCTGCCTGATTAACTACAGAGAAGTATTTAAAGTTGGTGAGAGCTCCTTAGCAACAGCCACTGTCTCTGCAGGCTGCTGATGGAGAAGAAAGGCCAGAGGAAGATATGTGCAGGGAAGATGGGGGTGGAGAAGAGGAGGCTGAGAAGAAGGACAAAGACACAGTGATAGCGGGTCCCAGTTGCTGATGGTGCTGGGATGGGGCCCAGAACAAAGCCACCAGGTCCTCTGGTTATGCCCAGCCCTGAATGAAGGGAACAGCCAGGGTCCAGGCTCCTAGTTGACAAAGACCTATTTCCAGCACAGACCAGGGATGTCTGGTCCTATTCCCCCCCCCAAAAGCTAACATTCCCTTCCCCAAAGCTACCTGCATGGCTGAAGAGTTACACTTTCATCCATCCTCAAGGCTTCCCAGGCTGAGCCCCACCACACTGTCCCCAAGGGCTTCTCCATCCCTTGGAGTGTCACAGGCTCAGATGAGACCCATAAACGATGCTCAGGACTGCAGTGTTGTCATCTCACTCTCCCCATAGCTACAGCAGCCAGCTGCCCCCCAATAAGCCACGCAGGGGGAACACCACACATGGGGGACAGTTTATTTTTCCATTAAAAAAATAGAGAACAACTTCACCATCTCCTAACATATATTACAGTCATCAACACCACAACGTGCAGACTAAATACCTATCTGTGACAATATTCCTGTCCTGGGGCAGGAGGGACAGAGGCAGCAGGCTGGGACGGGGGGAGGAAGGAGACAGACATGTTTCTTGTGGCCTCAGAGCCTTGCCAGGAGGCTCAGCAGGTACAGGACCCATCCACACCTCTCCACAGCCCCAGTCCAGGACCCACCAGTCCCCACAGTAGTGCCACACACCAGGAGCAGCACCAGGACATGCCTTCAACACTCACGCTACCGACCTTGCCCCAGGGCAGCCCACAGAGGAGTTGGGCAGCACCTGCCTTCAGTTTGGGACCCCAGGCATCACTTCAATACCCAGGAAGGTCAGAAGCTCCACAAAGCATCTAAGATGCTGCCGGGGCAGTTGTGGAAGTCACCTACTTGCTCTGCCAGCTCACACAGGTGATGGAGTGGAAGGTGGCTTCTGGAATCAGACAATGGCCACATCCAAGGGTGGCCTTGGACACTTCCGCTCTCCCCTAAAGTCCCCTGACCAACCCTGGCCATTCCCAGCAGCAAAAGCAGAGGTGGAAAACCTAAAGCCAGGCAGAGGGAGCCAAGGCAGCGAGCCCTCAGAGAGGGTGCAGCACCCTGCCCGAGCTCCCCAGCACCCTGGGGCCAGCCCTGGCCCCTCCGGGCAGCCTTGCAGGGAATTGCCAGTGAAGGAGAGACCAGGGCCAGGACTTAGGGCTTTTCAGCCTCCCTGGAGGCATCACAAGCAATGAGGGGGGGGGGGTTGGATTAGCGGGAAAGAGCTGGTTTCAGTTAGGATCAGGGAATGGGCCAGGGCCAGGGGGCTTTTCAGCCTCCCTGGAGGCATCACAAGCAATGAGGGGGGGGGGATTAGCGGAAAGGAAAGAGAGCTGGTTTCAGTTAGGATCAGGGAATGGGCCAGGCGGAGCAGTGGGGAAAGCAGGGAGAAAGCAACAGTTGGCCCTGGGGAGCCAGGACACTCGCCTTTGGCTGCAGGGAGTCCAGCTCCAGGATGGGAGAGGGTTGATTTGGGGGTAACCTCAAGCCAGCAATACACAGAGCAGGCTCTACCCATCAAGGGAGAGCTACAGCCCATGGACTGTGGGCTGCCCAGGACGCAGCCAGGAACAGAGGCGGATGGATGGCAGGAGGGGTGAAGCGTGGCTCACGCCTGGGGCCAAGCGGGCACAGGGGGGACTCAGCAGAAAATGGGGATGGAAACCATCACAGGGAGCAGAGGTTGGCTGCAACCAGTCCAGCAATGAGCCCCCAGGGCTCTATTTCTGCATGTCACACTGCAGGAGGAGGACAATGGAGGGGTCACTCTTCGCTGCCTCCTTGAACTCCTCCAGGGAGATCTGGTCATCCTTGTCCTTGTCCATCTTTGTGAAGATCTTGTCAACACGCTGCTGGGGCGTCAGCCCATCTTGGTTCATCCTCATCATGATCACAGTCCCCACCATCTTGTAAATGGCCTGGAGCAAGAAGAGAAGCAAAGTACCAGAGCAGGAATGTTGGATGGGCAGAAGGCCCCAGGGCAAGGCAGGGGACAGGATTGCTGCTCTGCTGGGACCCAGTTAGCTGCTGGCATGAGCTATGCTGCCGCACAGCTACAGTCAGGTGCACCTGGTACCTTAGGGATACCAATAGCAGTGAAAAGCCTGGAAAAAGCAAGCTACCCCTGCTGATTTTAAGCACCGGTACCTCAATGATCTCCAGCATCTCCAAGCGTGTGATCTTCCCATCCCCATCCAGGTCGTACATCTCAAAGGCCCAGTTGAGTTTCTGCTCAAAGGTGCCCCTGGAGGTGACAGACAGGGCACAGATGAACTCCCTGAAGTCGATGGTCCCGTCACCGTTCTTGTCGAAGGTGCGGAAAGCATGCTGGGCAAACTTGGAGGCATCTCCGTAGGGGAAGAACTGCAGGGAGGAGAGAAGAGAGAGATCGAAATGGGGAGGGGGAGCTCAGTGGGGAGGCTGCACCCAAAGCAGCACCCTTGCCCCAGCAGGAGCGGGGTGCTCCAGCCCCGCAGGCAGCACTCAGGCCCCCGGCTAGAGCCCACCTTAATGTAGAGCTGCTGGAACTCCTCCAGGTTGAGGATGCCGGTGGGACAGTCCTTGAGGAAGCCCTTGTACCACTGCTTCAGCTCCTGCTCGCTGAACTCCGTGCTCCTCACCAGGTCATCCAGCATCTCCGGGGCCAGCTTACTGCTGTGCTTGCCCATGGCTGCCCCTGGGAGGGAAAAACGCACAGCTCCTACACACCAGGAACAGGGAGAGCTGGTGCTCCCAGGCCCTTCTCCACCCCAGCAGCTGGCCGACCCACCATGCCTCTTCCCCACACTAGAGCTGATCCACCTGGCTGGTGAGTGTCCGTGCACTGTCAAATGCCGGGACAGCGACTGTGGCACTGGGGACAGGCTCAGTGCCCGTGCCCAGCTGTGGCCCTTGCTGCTGGAGATGTGCAGGAGCTGGCCCTGGGGCAGCCTGCCAGCACAGCCAGCAGCGTCACCTTCAGTCCCCATCTCCTAGGCTGGCTCCCTTTGGGCTGCAGAAAAACACTCAAAAAACAACTGAAGACCCAGAACTCCTCACATGGCCTTTACCAGGCCATGATGTCCAGCTGCCCT